CAAAACCGGCTGGACCGAGGGCTACCGCGGAGCTAGCCAGCACCATCCGAAGAAGAGACCGCCAGCCCTCGCGTTTGCAAGGCGAGCCGCTGGCGTTAGGGCGGTGCTTCCGTTCATTCTTACGGCAGCGAAACTAATGTAAACAGGTGGCACGGAGTTAAACGTTGCTTTCCACTGACCGCTGTTGTATAGTATTCGGTATTCTGCTTTTATTTTTCTTTTAGTACTGGATTGCATTTTTGGATTATCTAGTCGGTGGTCTTGGGGATATTATTATAGATATTATTCTTGTCTCAGTCGTTGTTGTATTGCTGAAGGTAACTCTTATTTGTGACTCTTTCCTGAACTTTCTTTTCAACTAAAATGAACTGGAAGATCAATCATCACTTTTGGAGGGAAAACTTGTAGAGATGTGATTCAAGACATTGGCTCGCATCTCCTAGCTACAGCGTGAATGCCTGAGCGGTAAAAGGCTCCGCACACAGTAAAATGGTCCTTTTAAGTGGTGTTTTCAGCCCAATAGCCAGGCATGCTTTATAGCACGGTAAATGTAATAGTGCACAGAGGGATAAGCGTAATCAGAATGCAGCAAAATAGTTATGATGCAGCCATCATCGTAACCTCAAAAGTAAAAATTCCACAAACTCTTCTTAGACCTGTAACCCCAGGTCAATTTACAGCCATATTGCCAGCAGGTATATGATGTATAAGCATTTGAAAGAAACCAAGACAGTTTACGTATTCTTACAAAGTGACTGAGTCATGAACTTACATAGCTGTTCCCCTGTGTTACCAGGACTGTTGGGCACTTCCTCAAATCATCTTGGTAAAATGTGAAAGAATGCTTCCAGAGATGGCAAAAGTCCTAGAAATAAAAGAAGTAGACTTAAATAAGGATCAGTAAATATCTGATATAAAAATTAGCTTAAATTTAAGAGAGAAATTTGTGCATATTCAGTATGTCTTTAACTATCCATTACACATTTTAGCTAACAGTTTACAAGTTACAGAAATAATGTCTGATTTTTCCACCTATTCACGCATGCTTATTGTGACACACTACACTGGGAAGAAAACTTCTAGAACTTGGCCATGTTTGACTAAATGGTAAACACAGACTGTTACAGGTGAAGCCGTGTACAGGTATAACTTTAAGAATGTAAGTTAACAGTCCATTTGAGTTCTGTTGTCAGTATATGTTAGGCCAGGCCAAACGCTCCTAGTTATAGTTTTCATACCACAACTAGCCTCATTATTTACAGTAATATTAATCACAGCAAAAAAAAAAACCACAACCCTCAAAGCTGGATGAAGAATTAAAGGACTTTAAAAGCAGTCTTTCTGCGTGCTACAGTCACTTTCATTTTCTTACCTTCTATGCGCTTGGCCCTTGAATCCATTCTTCAACTGGACTATACATTTTTAGAGGAGAGGTTGGATTCAATTTTCTGTTTACATTAGCGCCTAACGCAAGGAGAACCTTATTCATTATTGCAACATTGT